CCATTTTTGGAAGGCCAAACAAAGTAGTTTCGCTTTCACAACGAAACAGCGTCACACACCGCGGCCTTGAGTGAGCGGCGGCCTAGAGTGAGCAGAGGCAGGCGGGCTTGAGAACGGGGGGCCTGCGGATTCGACGAAGGAGCGTCCGGCGGGCTTGAGGCAACCACATGTGACGACCCCGGGCTGGACTCAGCTTCGTCCACGGTGAAAGCCGATCCGGCGATCCACAGCGCGAAGTTGATGTATTTCCTCAGCGACCAGCACGGATCAGCTCCAGGCATGACGAAGCGGATATCGTCCTCTTTTGGAAGACCAAACAAAGTAGTTTCGCTTTCACAACGAAACACAGCGCCTTCACGACATGGTGGCGGCGGCAACAACAATACTACAGCGAGAATAAAAGTTATGCCTTCTTTCTTTGCGTGAACATTTGGGCGGTGTTATGCAAATCTTCCCACATCGTGACGTAGACATGTGGGGGCGTGTTAGAACGAGCCATTTTAGGTAGGCGTGGTTGACTTTTAACTTTTATAAAGAATATCTCTTTGGATTTGAGACTTTAGTCTTTGCAACTTTACAGATCTTCTTTATGCACCAAGAGCTTGTAACACTCCAAAGAGAAAGGAAAAATTTTAATCACATCATATGACCCCTTTAAAGAATTAGTCATTTCAGCATTTAGCAATATCTTCTTGTGTGTTTGATGAAAGAAAGCAAGTCTTTTGGGTTTGGAATGACACAAGGGTGAGTAAATGATGACAGAATTTTCCTTTAATGAAAGAGCCCATTGTTCTCAGGCAGTAAACTCATTTAGATATACTTAAGCCATTTGTGGGAGACCACAGGAAAGAACATCTAAGCAAACACAACCCTTTTAAAGTCATTTTATTCAGGATCCATTACATATTGTTGGATTCACCAAGGGTACAAGCCAAAGGACTGAGAATGTTAAAGTTACTATGGGAATATTTTTGTCCTTACCCTTTGACACCATTTACCATTATTTATTATTATTATTTTTGTGAGCACTGGCCCTCGAGAAACAGTGCATTAATATCATATCAACATACACACACTCAAACGCACCGACTCACACAAAAGCATTCTGACGTAGGTTTAAGAGCGCTCTAGTAGCAAATAAGACACATTCAAACTCACATTTTACCAAGACTAAAACAAGATCGTGAAGGGTGTTATTCCACTGCATCGATTTCACTAGACTAGATTTCAGTTTGCATGCAGTGAAACATACATAAGACAAGTGACACATGGCAATAAATTAGCATATAATTTACAAATGAAAAGAAAAAAAAATGAGTAACAGTGTACCAACATTAATAATACTGAATATAAAATGTAAGCAACTATTCACAAAAAATGCAAAACTCTCTTCTATAGGTACAGGTTAAACAATGTGACATTCAAAGACACAAGTTCACAGCGATCAGTACCAGTTTCATTGAGTGTCTTATTGAGAGTCCGTGTCCCAAAGCCAGTAAACTTGTACTTCAAGCCTTAGGATTTTACAGGATGCTCAGCATGTTGGGCCTACAGTTCCGCTGTTCAATGTTCACTGTTGAATAATCCCAGTATAAACATTTTATAATACATAATCGATTGATATTGTGTTTGTGGCTACAAAAGAGTAGCAGCAGCAAAAGTAGAATGGTTGTATGACTAAAAAACATAAAAATGTTCCATACCTCCTCAATTTCAATAATCTGTTGTGTCCCGTAACAAAGGTGAGATCTAAAATTGATGCTCTATCATTTGATGTTCCCTTGGCTAAGAGAGAGCAGGGTTAAGTCACTCAGTCATGGATGAGGGAAAAATGCAACATGGAGTTGATGGAAAGTTTACAAACATAAACCAATGTGAAGTAAAAGGACAGAAAGAAAGACAGACAAAAGCTTTGTTCCAAAACCTAGCAAGTTGCTTTTCTTTGTGTGGGTTCGTCAGCTGCTTTCCATGTCAAGAAACATGACTTAGGCAAGTATGCTAACATGCGGTCCTGTTGAACATACTTAGCATGTGTCAACGTTAAGAATGTGACGTGGTCCAACATGTTTTGTAATGCAAAGTAAAATCAAGCTTAGCTAGAATTTGCCATCGACAAAGTGTGGTTGTGTAGAGTATATTTCAGGCCTAAAGCAGCATCGTAACGGGAATAGGACCTGTCGACTGACTGATTTGAAACACTGTGTAGGCAACAACCCCACATGCCACACAAATAGCATTCGTAAAGTGCACAGTAAACATGACGCACAATTGATTCCAGTAGCTAAGCTAATGACACAATGGTCCAACAAGCATTAAAATGCATAGCACATATTTTTCACTTTGTCTGACACTGAGCAATGCATTCTGGGATTGCCTTTACAAAAGAAATGTGATTCCGCCTTTAAATTTGTTAAGAAAACAAGGTCTCATAAAAAGGAACAGCCTACTTTTTGGAACGACCGTTGCACCAGAAAGACCTATGATGCCTTAAAAAGATGGTCTATGTAGGGAGCTCACTAGGATTTGGAACAGAGCTAAAGTATTCTTGGTTTTCTGTCAGATCGCATACCCAGAATGCATCAAGGTCTTATAGCACCATGGGGCCAGAAGAGCCACCCACTCAAAAGATGAGCGGAAGAAGGGCAGTGGAACAAACAGTCCTCCACTGAGGAAAGAAAAGCACCATTGAGTGTGGAGGGTTTGAGAGTGTGGGTTGGAAGCACTGTGATCTCAGGGAAGGAGGAAGAGGGGGTGTTTTGGAGGTAGTCGATGGCAGACCGGATCTGTGGGGTCTGGCAGGTTACCCAGGCACTGGCCCTTCACTTAACTTTACTAATGCATCGGCATCACAGACTTGGAGATCTCCAAGCAAGTCATCCCTGTGCTGATGGATTGTCTGTGTATTCTGCTGATAATGTGGCGGAGTGTGGCTGCAGCACGCATTTTATGTGAAAATTATTGCGTCTGGAACATGCCGGTCCCCGGAACAGACACATAGATGTCAGAACCCAAGAATTTAAAGCAGAATATGGATCCATAAAGCAGAATCACGTCAGAATCGCAATTAATGTCTCTCTGGTGTCCACAATAATTCTAGAGACACAATAGTAGAAACGTCCCTTTGGAACTGATCTGATTTTCAGGCCTTGTTCGAGTGTCAGACAATGGTGGAATTCTTTGGCCTGTGGTCATGTGATTCAGCTCAGTAAAACAGGTGGTTAACTCAACTGAACATCTGGACTCTGAAGCTCTAATTGAGATTTCTTCTGCACAAATTCAGCACCAAAGCACCCAATCACACTACCCTGTTTGTCTTTGGCCCTTGGGTCTCTATCTTACTTTCGAAAGTTATTGTCAAAACAACTTTAGTTTATAAGTTTATAAGTTCCTCAACTGGTAGAGCCTGGCTCAAGCCATGCCAAGGTCAAGGGTTGTAACCTATGACTGCAATGGAAGTTGCTCTGGAAAAAAGCATTTGCCAAGTGAATCAATGTACATAGAAGTTCCAAGTTACAGATTTCAATTAAACCACATGTATATCTAGTACGATCTCCATCTAGCCGCAAAGAGAAACAGGTCAACCTGAACAACATTGCCTAACCATCTAGAGGTGTCCAATCCTGCTCCGGGAGGGCCACTGTCCTACACTGGCTGTGTTCCACTTTGTTTTTTATGCCCTTCCCTTGCTAACCTCCATCAGTCTCATTGATTCGGATGTACATCATTGATCATGTTGCACGAGTGCCCACTACTGGCAGAATCATCGCAATGGGCTAAAATGGAACGTGCTAAACCCTTGATCAATTGAAATCTGCTATGGAGTTGATTTATTTATATTTTTCCCCCTTACAAATTAGTTTTATGCAGCATATGTGTACACGTATGCTTGGACTGTTTTTAATATTTGAAAAATAATTATTATATCAGAGTTGTGGAGGTAAATTAAACACGATCTGAGGTGACGTCACAATCCTGTTGCATTCTGGTACATGGAGCTGCCTGAAGTGTACACTAAGCACCCTTAGTAAAAATCGAGGGGTTGAGGCTCTCTATAAACCTCCCTTGTTGACTTAACAAAGTACTGAGGGAAAGTGATTAGAAAAGTCTGCAAATGTTCGACTAAAAGCGAAGTGGAATGCAGCCAGGTTTCAGCTCCTATGCTAATTAAACACACCTAATTAGGATCTTCAGGATGACTAGAAACTTCCAGACATGTGTGTTGGGGCAGGTAGGCGCTAAACTCTGTAGGATATTGACCCTTACAGGAGTAGGATCGGACACTCCTGGTCTGTACTTTTAATCAAAAACCAAAAGTCAATTCAGTCTATACCAACCCTGCTCATTGGGGGTTACCATCCCGCAGAGTTTAGTTAAAATAACAGGCAGGTGTGTTGGAGCAGGTTGGAACTGAAGTCTGCAGTTCTCCAGGAGCAGGATTGGTTACCCCTGATCTATAATTCATTGATTTTAGGAGTGAAAAATATCATTTGGGTGGAAAATTTGGATTGTTATTTTTACCTTAAACCTAATGCATGTTGCAGTCACCAAGTTTCAGTACCATCCATGTTTGGAAATGTTCCTATCAGACTGCTGTATCGGATGCCGGATCACATGAATGACAGTGTCTGCACTCCGGTTGTTGGTTACGGTACTTTGTCACACCATCAACAGTCTCTGACACTCATGTTGCCTCAAATCGCCAACTCTTATTCAAAACAAATGACTTCCAATCGATCCGATGCTGCCAGTGTGAGCAATCATTGTTGGTTTGAATGTTCCTGAATGTAATGTTGCCAACAGAACCATGTTAGGAGTGTGTATGCAAGACCCAGGGTTATACCAATGTCCCGAACTCCCTTATGTGGGTGCCTTGAAGTAAACCTCTGCTGTGCTACTTCTGTGAGTGTTGTGTCCAGCACTTTGGATTATAACAACAGAAAGACATTGATAATAATAATAACCAATAGCAATTATTATTATTATTATAAAAATAACAACAATAATGATCATTTTATACATTCCCACTTCACAGAAGTGAAAATAAAACAGGTGTCAGCGCAGTGCTGAGCAGTGGTTTGGGTTCCACAGGGCTAAAAGCAGTTGTGTGTGTGTTGATTAGCGAGAAAGAGGCTTCTTTCTTCTGTGCCCAGCATTGACTTTTCTCTCTGCCAGTTTTCTCTCTCTTTCCTCGTTGCAGCATCTGTCTCTGCTTCTCTCCATGGGGTCAGTGTCCTTGGCACGTCTTGCAGCACATCTGTCTGAAGTACGCACGGCTGCAGAACTTGAACTTCAGCACCAATGGGCAATATGCCACCTTATTTACATCTTTGCACTCTAGGGGAAGAGAAAAAAGGTGGAATGAGAAAGGATACGTGAAGGAGTAAGTGGTTGATACTGGGGAACCACAAAGGGGAAACTTGAAAGCTTGTTAAAGAGATAGTTCACCCTGAAATGAAAAGTCTGCCATCACCCTCATATAACTTTTTTTGCTCTAGTGGAACAAAAGATTAATTTGCGTTGGGACTGTCAAGCTCTGAAATCAGAATAAAGGTATCATTAAGAAAAATTAGTCAGATGAGTTTAGAATGACATGAAGGCAAGTAAATCATGACAGACTTTTAATTTTGGTTGAACTATCCAATTATATGATAGGCAAGTCTGTGTGGAACAGTGACTCAGGACTTTGATCAGAACCCAGAGGCTGGATCTACAACTGGGCCCAGCTCTCTCTCTTAAATCTCTCATGAGCTCTTCATTGGAATAAACACCAGCTACTTTGAAACCGAACAAGCTTAAAGTAATTAAACTAGTCTTTTGAGTTTCTATATTGACTACATTGAAGAAAGTTTTACTCATATCCCTCATCGTTGTTAATGAAAAGCATGTTTGGAGGACCGTCTTTTGGGTTCTTAGAATGCGAGTCATATTTCAGATGTCTGTGTGAATCTAGGTGGTAATCAGTAGCCGCTTTTCCACTGTCGGGCCAGTGCTTCACTAAAACCCGCCCTTTACACGCCTTCCAACAACGTCACGCAACCCCATCATTTCACCAACAAAGAAGTTATCAGAAAACTAATAAGAAATAAGTCACTGGAACTAGCGCGATCACAAAACGAACATGATAAAAGCGGCTGTTTATTTGCATGCTTTGTTAAAGATTTAAATCCAAAAGTGTGACGAGAGGGGCGGGGCCGAGAGCCGTGGGAACGGAGCGAGGCCGGTGGAGGAAATGCTAATGCGCGACACCGGCGCCACTCACCACTCTCGAGTCCCATGGAGGAGCTTTGATGCACAAAAAGCATCAATGTTTTACAATAATAAGTGATGCATTGATCATAATGAATTAATTTATCAGGATTGAAAATTAGTCACACACAAATAAAGTGGTATGAACATAGCCTACCTACTTGTTTAGTCGAGTCTGTTTATTTGTAGTCACAGTTACATACATCACATTTAGAAAGAATGATAATTTCTATATTTTTATAAAAGCTCCCGAACAAAAACCATTATTATATTTTATGACATAGGTGGAGCTAAACTCTCGAGACGAGACTTATGACAGATAAAATATGTTACTAAATAAATACACGATTGTGATAGAGAATAAGAAGCTGACATCTGATTTCTTCAAGCGGTCGTATTTACCATGTTTACTATGGTAACGTTAATGGCTAGCGTGCATAGTCTTTTGCATCGCTTATAAATATTTCTGCCTTGCATGGTGATCATAATCCACATCGGATCAAGTTATTTCAAACACTCGCTGCTGTCTGAAAGTGAGTTTTGAACTAAAATTATTTTAAGTCTTTAATGCTGGTGTTATAGCTGTTAACTTTATGAAATGATCCGCGGCGCTGAAGCTCTCCAGACACGGAGAAACTCCGCCTTTGTTCATAACCACTCCTCTAGCCCCCGCTGGCCCGCTTTGGCCCAAGGTTTGAGTGAATATGAAGGACAGTCGGTTAGCAAGGGTATTTCTGTGATTAGGTGTGAAATCTGAATTGAATCTGGCAGCTTGATAGTCCCTCCACTAATTGTTCTAAAATCGCAAATGTGACACTATGCTGTTGGGGAAACCATAACAAATACGTGCTAAAAAAATGTACATTTACATGAAAAAGTGATTCTGTGGGATTTCTAAACAGGCACTGTATAGAGTACCAATTAAAAGTTATTTTCGGGTCCAGGGGGGATTCTGTAGGGCAGGGACAGAATCTTGCATGACCCTGCAGCACTGGAAAGCTAATAGACTTCCTTTGTGTCAAAGCCAAAACTCTGAGTTCTCCTTCAAAAGAGGCCATGACTCAGGGCCTGGACACAAGCCTCTTATGGTAATTACAGCATCTAAGTGTAAAAAGAGAGCGACCTGATTCACGGCGCGGGCAGACGGCCATCTGCATTAGTGTGGCAGTGTGCTGATGGTGCTAACTGGCCCTACCTCAATTAATATGTCTTCCTTATTAGGCTCTTTAAACTGCCATGGCTGACGACAATGAAAGCAGACATTCTGTCACTGCTGTTGATTAGGATACAACTAATCCTATTAGGGTCCATTAGGAGAGATAATCTAATGCTGCTTCCCCAGTGAAGGAATCTGAATAGGGATCCATCTCGCGAGGGTCATGGAAGTTTTATTGAATCCAGGATCGCCTAAATAGTGTCTCGATTCCAAACTGAGGTAGTTAATAACAGGCAAGAACAGAACAATATATCCTTTGTTAAATCAAAATTGAACGCAGAGGCCACAAACTTTGTAAATGTCAACACTGTGATCAAAGCCAGATGCAGCTCATATGAAAAATTAATTTATCAGGATTGAAAATTAGTCACACACAAATAAAGTGGTATGAACATAGCCTACCTACTTGTTTAGTCGAGTCTGTTTATTTGTAGTCACAGTTACATACATCACATTTAGAAAGAATGATAATTTCTATATTTTTATAAAAGCTCCCGAACAAAAACCATTAGGCTATTTTTATGACATACGCGGAGCTAAACTCTCGAGACGAGACTTATGACAGATAAAATATGTTACTAAATAAATACACGACTGTGATAGAGAATAAGAAGCTGACGTCTGATTTATTCAAGCGGTCGTGTTTACTATGGTAACGTACTGGAACTAGCGCGATCACAAAACGAACATGATAAAAGCGGCTGTTTATTTGCATGCTTTGTTAAAGATTTAAATCCAAAAGTGTGACGAGAGGGGCGGGGCCGAGAGCCGTGGGAACGGAGCGAGGCCGGTGGAGGAAATGCTAATGCGCGAG